CACTTTTCATGCAGTGCACGGACCCCCTGTTGAAGACCTCTAAAGGACCAGTTTGTGCCAGTTTTGTACTTTTCTCCTGCTTGATCAAGCATCAGTTTTTGAGGAGTTGGGAATGAGAATATGTTGTAAAGGCAGAGTAGGCACGAACACTAACTTTTCTCCTTGAAGTTCACTTCAAGGAGGATGATGCTATAAAGTTCCTCTGTTTTTATGGTGTATGGTATTTTGAAAACTGCTCATTTTACATATATTATATTGTGTTTTTCCCCAGGAATTGGAGGACCTTAAGCTCTACACACCAAATCGTACCAGCTATGAGGTGAGCAGCCAACTTCTTTTTCATCACTGAGAGTAATCAGTTAGACCGGATTTGAGCAAATGAGGTGGTTACCAAGTCAATTTTCTGCATGCTACAACAAGAGTTTAATCCGTTGTGAAAATTCTGTTATCTTGTTAGGCAGATTTCCATAGAACAAGCAGTACAGCTATTTTAGTGCAAAATAAACAACATTACAGTACAGCTTTTCATTTCTTCATCCCTGCCTGGGTGATTTTCCAGCCTTGTCAGTTCACTATTAATGGGGTCATATAGGAGTAAGCAGCTCAAAATTTCCTACAGTACTATCTAGGGAAATTACGAGGCCAAGTTTTACTGGGATTTGTTGGCTCTGGCAAACAGAAAAAGTGCAGTAGACACAAGAAGGAAGTCATCAAGTCTGTCTGAGCTTTTGCTGCAGGAATACATGTCGGATGGTATAGAAAACTATGATGAGAAGGAAAACTTAGTTATCCACCAGCCATGACGGCTGCTATAATGAAAGCTTAATCTAAAGCAGCTGAGCATGATGATCATGTACACAACTTAAACTTAGGAGGCACTGTCATTCAGCTCCTACATCAGTAACATTATCTGTTCTGCCTATTTTCACTTTTGAAAAATGTATTATCTTTGTCCCTCTTTCCCCGCACTTTGCCTCTATTCTTGTCCATAGCCTCATCACCTCCTACAGCGTTTACTATAACTCTCTTCATTTTGGTCTTCCTCAGAAGTCCCCCCCATAAGTTGTTTTGCCATTGATAGATATCCCCCTTGGTGTTTGATGTTTACTTGCATACCATGGATGATGAATATATGCCATCATGGTGAGGCTAACTGGTTTGACTGAACCCATTTTTATTCTGTCTCCTTGGTGATTATTCTTGGCAGCCATAGTGCATAATGTTGACAGTAAAGTCTATTTTAGATTATATCCAGGGGAGGAAATTCCATGCTTATATGGACTCCCAAAAATTCACAAGGAAGGAGCACAACTCAGGCCCATTGTCAGCAGCATTAACTCAGTAACATACAACATTGCTAAACAGCTTTCTAATATCTTAGCCCCCTTGGTGGGAAACACACCACATCACATAGAAAACTCCAAATACTTTGCCAACAAAGTCAAACATTTAAGGATGGCACCAGGAGAAACCCTGGTATCGTTTGATGTTACTTCACTTTTCACATGCATACCTATAACAGAGGCAGTGGAAACAGTCAGGACACGTCTTAAACAAGATAGTGACTTAAACAACAGGACTAATTTCACTCCGGACCAGATCTGC